ATTTATTCTGTTCAAGGCGAAAAATTCTAGAATTAGTCACTTTTGCTTGCCTTATTCCAGCGGAACCATAATCGATTATATGAAAGTTTTACTAATTAGAGTTAAAACTAATCAGTCACAAAAAACTAGTTTTACTAGTTACGCCGTTTCAAAGCTATTGTAAGGCTGTTTTACTATACAAGCTGGAGAAGTTAATTCTGGTAAATAATAATAATTATAATAATTTCATAATAATAATTTATTTAATTTAAGCCTTTTACAAGTAATGGTGTATTATAACTAAATAAGAGCTATTTTACCATGTTTGGCTTGTTAGTAATTGACCCAAGGTTATCTGTCCCCTGACTTTCAAGCTAGGCTAACCTGTGTTATGAAAGACAGTGGTTCGGTTATTTAACAAGTTTACAAGCATATTATGGTGCAGTATAGAGAATATTACAGAAAGAAAAAGAAAACAAACAAAAGACTTAAGGTTAATGGTTAAAGTTATAGATAATGGATGCAATAAGGTGACTGTGAGAGAGTAAAAATGCGTATGTACATGCATTGGGAGTGTGTGTGTGTGTGAGAGTGCGCGCGTGCGCGCATTTGTGTGTGTGTGCGTGTGTGTGTGTGTGTGTGTGCGCGCGCGCGCGTGCGTGTGCGTATGTGCATGTGCGAGTGAGAGTGTGTGTGTGTGCGTGTTTGTGTGTGTGCATGCGTGTTTGTGGGAGTGTTTGTGCGTTTCTTCGTGAGTGATAATGAGATTTGGAGCGGACAAGAGTGTTACCTGTCTAGAGTTACAATTGGGTACGATTGACGTAAAACGAGCTATACCAATATTTGTTCTGTTTCATCATATTCAAGTGCTAATAGCCAAGTACTTATTTTATTTTTACACTCAAATTTATTGACTCTATGAAATTGTAGAGTATTATTTAGGTTGTTGTAAAGTCTAGCACTCAATGAAGGAAACTGTCTCTTGGCAAAGGTAGTACGGCAGTGTACTGCAGGACAAACTGGTCTAAGTCGTCTGGTGGGTGGGACATCAGCTCCCAATGGGAGAGACGAATGTTGACGTAAACAGGATCGAAGGATAAATGTCTTTCTTACAGTGAGTACATCCACAGCGTCCACATAAAGTTGTGATGTGGGATATCTGTACGGTTTTGTGAGCCTTCAGCGGGATGGGCAGAGCGTCTTGTAGCCAGTGTAATAAATTGCGATTTCTCTACGTTCAGTGTAAGCAGGTTATTATTAAGCCATTCCATAACCAACCTGAATGCAGATTCTGCAGAAGCAACCGTGTCGGCCCAGCCACTCCCAGAGACGAATAATGCCGTATCATCAGCGTAAGCAAAGATACGACTTTATGGAATAGTCAAACTGCACAATTCGTTAAGGTAAACCTGGAACAACGTAGGACCAAGAATACTCCCTTGTGGCACTCCGTACTCTATAGTTTCTTGCTGGCTTATGTAGGTGCCGATTTTAGTACATTGAGTTCGATTTGACAAATAATCGGCAAATATACTGTGAACTTTCCCCCTAACACCCACAGCTTCTAGTTTATTTAGTAGTAGTGGGACAGAGACGGTGTCAAAAACCTTTGAGAGGTCCAAGAAAATGCCAAGGCATTTTTGCTTTCCATCTATTTCCTTGACAGCATGTTCTACTAGAGAACCTATGGCATCCTCGGTGTATCGACCCCTTCTAAAGCCAAATTGGTTATTGGAGATGATGTTGTTGGTCTCTAGGAAGCTAACCAGTAACACTACATATAATGCTTGCCATCGAAGTGAAAAGGTTCTCGCCGATTGTTGCCCAGGTTGCGCCAAACGTACCCACCTAAGTAATGGAATGGTACGTCGTTTGCGGCGGGGAGGCCTTTCATGTACCCCAACCAAAGATGTTGTAATGGAGCCATGAAAGGATATTGTCCACGTTGTCCCTATCTACCGACCCGAGAGATAGGGTTTTCCGGAGAGATTACGGGCTCGACGGCAAGACCAGGACAGCGAGCGTACGGGTCAAGCCCTCCGTCAGTGATACGCCTTCACGGGCGTCTCTGGTGGACCCGGACTTGGGTATGGACTCGCTGGGGTTTGTGGTTAGCTGCAGAGGCGGATATGTTTGACTGAAACGGTGGTGTGCGGCCGGGGCGTCTGACTCGTCAGCTAGCGCGTCTTAGTAGCGGTCTAGTTGACGGCCTGAAGCGAGGAGACGCGCGGAGCACCGTCCGGACATTGTTCCAGGACACTGCGACTGGCAACTCCAGTACTAGCCCGTAGAGCTAGTGGAGGATGAACTAGATATCCTCCGGTCCCCTGGAACTGAGGAGACGTCGTTTTTCGGCGTCGGGAAATGAACGGGCTTTACAGCTCCGCCACCTATGAGGAGATTTAGTAGTGGACTCAGAGTCGAGGGCTTAACGGTGGCAACCGCTATTTGTATAATGTGGCATGGCTCCGGTCCCTATCTGGAAAATAGGGAGGGTACTGTACGTACCCCCGTGGCGACTCACCCGAGGCACTAACCTCTCGAAGAACCGGATGAAGTCAAGTGGCAGAGGTCTGTGACCACCCTGTACTCTAGCTGATCTGGGGTCAGAACTTGAACTTATAAAGTTCCTGTACACGCACAGGTTGTAGTGCCTTCTCGTATACCCTAAGGGTCGGTAGGGAGGGTCACTGTAATCAAGAGTAATGTAGAAAGATATGGGGCTGTCCAAGCTCGAATAAGCTTATTCCAGCGGCACCATTTTTCAATCTCGTAGACACAGCTCGTAGCTCAGATCCAAGTGCACTCAGAAATTTTACAACAAAAGCAAAATTAGATACATGCAATTTCTGACCTTTTGTATTACTCGTACGTAGGTACTTACGGCGTGGGTACAATGCGTGGGTAGTACCGATACTTTTGCATAATTAGAATTAAAATGTAAATGTAATTGTAGATTTGTACACCGCAGTGATTAATGAAACCCAATTTAGTGACTTATTTTTTATTCCAGATTCCTATTCGAATAAATACAAAAGCGAGAGTAAAACTCCGCTGTACAAATTATATGTATAGTTTAGAAGTACACAAGAGTGAATTCTGTTGCTCTAGTACTCATAGTATAGGAAATTCCCTAGTTTAAGGCCAAGTAATTGATGTGGTTGTCTGGCACATCGTTATTATTATTATAGTTTCTTGTGGCTCTCATAAACAACAGCACAAAATTAAATAATATTGTATAGTGCTCAATATGAATTAGTTTTCATGCATGACATAAGGGCTCCGTTTTTTGTACTTTTTTTAATTTATTTTATCAACTAGTTTACATCGGGGCCGAAAATCCTATTAAATAACAAGTTGATTCCGGTTTTTTGTACGCTCCCCGACACATAATTCGAGCCACCTTGCATTTTTATCCTTAAAGGGCAAGAATATAAAAATATAGTTATCGTCGAAGAAAAAATTTTCTCCGATTTTTTAAATTCAAATTTTCAATAAGGGCTTAAGGATAGTTCTTGATGAATCAAGCGTTGTTTAAGTTAAGGGCATTTAATATTGAAAATGCTAGGTGGCTCGAGATATGTGTCCGGGAGTATATAATATCAAGTGACGGGACGAACAAGTCGTGCGCCTAATAGAAAGCTACACGCCTGTCCATAACAGTTGTAGTACCACAGCTCACAGCTTTAAATTGTAAATATCTGAGAGGCACTGCCAGTGCGCCCGTCACCCTGAGGCATAAGTTGACAAGTACCACATGCCTGTAATTTCACCAGCACCCTTGTCCTTCAAAACTGGAGCGCAGTAATGCGCATACCTTATTCCAGCGTGATCATGGTCGAGTTTTTGAAATTTGACTAGCCAGTTAAAAAGTCGCTGTTTAGTCGGTTCTAGTTGTAAAAAATTAAATTTAGTCGGTCCGCCGTTCTAAAGTTATAAGGGTGTTTTACTGTCCACGCTGGAATAAGCTTTTTCCAGCGGCACTATTTCTCAATCTCGAGAACCACAACACCTAGCTTAGATCTGTTTATACTAAAAAAAGTCGTGATTTAGTCGGTTCTAGTCGTAAAAAACTAGATTTTGTCGTTAGATTTAACCGTTTTGAAGTTATTAAGGTGTTTTACCGTCTACGCTGGAAAAAACTTATTCAGGCGGCCCCATTTTTGGATTTCAAGAACCACAATTCCTAGCTTAGATATGATAGCACTCAGAAAAAGTCGTGAATTAGTCGGTTTTAAACGCGAAATTTTAGAATTAGTCGCTCCTTTGTTTAAAAGATATTAGATATTGTCAATTATTCTCATTGATAGGTACATTTACGTAGAAAAATCGTACACATCATAAAAAATGTATATCTAAGGAAGGTCTTTGCTCCAAACATTCGTTGCGAAATCAATCAAGATATCGTGTTCATGGCGATTAAAATAATTTTGAATTGAGAAAGTGTAATAAATAAAAATATTATAGTCACTTATATACTGAATTTTTAGAGTCAAATTTAACCGTAACATTAATTTGTAGTTGAAAATGACTTGCGCTATAAATTATAATAGTCATCGTTTATTCAATTAAGTCATTCATTCATTATTTGATTATTCTGATCAATAGTCGTACGCGACTGTACTCCACGCGCTTCGTTCGTCTCATATAAGCTACGAGGGAGCCCAACACGACATACATATACACTACTAAATATCATGACAATCGATAACTCGTAATGCCATTCAGGAAAAATAACTATATTTTTTGCTAATTTCCTTGTATTAAAAACTAAACATTAAAACATTCAATTACCATGTATTTAAAAAATAAACAACAAATTCTGTATATTATGCAAAATGCGTACATGAGCTCCGAGACTAACAAAAGTATAACTTTGAAATGATAAAACGGTTGTATCTTCTAAACACACAGCGACCAATTCTAAATTTGTTAAGGTGGCAGTACTTCCTTGGACGAATTCTCACAAGGAGCTGTATTGCCACTAAAGTAGTTAATTAATGGTAAAAGGATAACAATAAAAAAAATGAGAACCTTTTTTTATTTAATATCAAAATCACACACCTTACTGTATAATATTAATATCAAAATCAAAATATGGAATGTAAAAATTTGTGTGATCCCATAAATAATTTTCTTATCTTTTGTACTCTCAAATAAGTTTAAATTGATTTAGTAAAGTAGAAATATGTAGCAGAATAAGTCGTAGAAAATATCTACTATACTTGAGCTAACCACAGAAAGGTACAGGGAATTTGTGAGGCACAATCGATTAGGTAATCATTTCAGAATCCCTATAAACTATAAGTTATAGTTTATAACAATAATGTATTTATAATGTATAACTTTTCTTAAACTTTATAAGTTGTATAAAAACAGACGAGTTTACAGTTCTCATGTTTATTACAGTAGGCAAAATACGATTACTGTATGTTTCCACAATAACAGATTTATTTTGGTATGCCCATTCGTACGACATATTTCATATAAAAAATCACCTTATACTTTAATACAAAAATAACAGTTTCACTGTTGCCTTAGAAGTATTTTTGCCAGGAATATTTTCTCCGGCATACTATTATGCACTAGCAGTCCCTACGTATTATTAAAATCGTTCCCCATTAGCAACATATCATATATGCTACATACTTAGTAAACCACTAATAGGGGTGTATACATAGTATTTTGACTATGAATTGTTTTCACAAAAAAAGACTTAATGGTGCCTAAGACAGTTTCCTTTATTATATTGTATGGTTTTGGATTTCCCCATACTGACTCATAAAAAAACACTGTGTATATTGGAAACCCAGAAAACTATCATAAGTCAGGCTAATATTTACAACGTAAAGTGAAATTACAAAAAAAAATATTCTTATGCGAATAAGGAGAATGTTTTCGATTTATAACTGCTAGTACATAAACCAGTAAAGCTACATTCACTTTTTAGCTAGTAGGGTCTTGATAAGAGACTCCAGCTTTCTGGTGTCAGCAGCGAATTTGCGAATACCGTCGGAGAGTTTGTCGGTCGCCATTTGGTCTTCGTTCATATGCCAGCGGAATTGAGCCTCGGTTAGAGTAATTTTTTCGATGTCACTTTGTGCTGCTACTTTGGAGTCGAGGACCTGTAAGAATAAAACCATATTTCTTAAGGGGGATCGTCACGGTTTTATGTAACTTAATAGCCACAAGATGGCGTTGTTAAAGCGAAATAATATTTTTCAACTATTTTCAAAAATTAGCAGCCAAAAGTTATACTTTCATTGTATACGCGATTGTAGGAAGTCATGATACATTTACAATTCACATAACTTTTCACATACAATCTTTCAATTAGATAAAAATACAACATTTCCGCTCAAAATTTAGTTCCATACACATACAAAGGTATGGTCTAGTGTCCTCTTTGTCCAAAGTATAAATACTGAAAGTCTGCAGTTCAAACCTCTGGTTCTCAAATTTTTTTATATTTTGCTTTTATTTATGTTAGTAGTCGGAATTTTTATACAATATTATTTGAAAATATCATGTAAACAGTCATTTTGTTTTAAATAAAAGTATGAAACTTTTGCACATTACTTATTTGACTTGCAATTTGAGAGACGACATTCATTCTAGCAGCAGTTCCTGGACTGGCCCAGTGATTAGGGATAATTTTAGTGTAGATATGTTTTTGTGAACTTAAATTATCTCGAGAACTAAAAGAGGTTGCTAAGCTTGGAATGACATGACATTTAACATGAGTAAAAGTACTGGTTGAATGAATATAGATTTGTGTTTAGAAAGTATTTTAAAAAAATAGGATAGAAAAACATCTTGGCAGATCTAGAAGTAGCCTCCATAAGAGAATATGTGCAAACCACAATAAATATCTAGTTATGAAGATAATCCCAGTTTATATTTATTAACTACCTCTTGCTACGCGACCTGAGCTACGTCCTAGGCTGTAGCCTACAGATACTGTAGGTACTGTAGTACCTACAGATAAATAAGTATTGCGGCCGGAGTGTGACGATGATGGTCATAGTAGATAGGTAGGATAGTGCATTCAATTCTATTCATTTATTGCTTTAAATGTGGCAAGTACAATACCTGATGGTACATATAATGATGTTTACAGGAAGCAGTTTTACACATTTAGCCATTTCTGACATGCAATATATTATTAAACAAGAGTACATGCGAAAATATGTCAAAATTATAAAATTATGTTCTCAATATAATAACTACATACACCATTATAATTACAAACATTCATACAAATTAATAATTTATACACAATTTATACTATGTCACATAAATGCTTTTAGTTTTTTTTTTATCAAAATATAATATTTCCAATAAATAAAGCATTAATATTACAATAATTATTCAAATATTTCATTTATATTACAATGTTTTTTTTTTCAACCACTGTTAATAAACCCTTAAACTTATCTAATGGCGTTGCTGATTTTAGTGTGTCAGGCAAACTATTATACACTTTGACACACATTGCTTTACAACTCTTCAGGTACAATGCGGTTCGTGGTATAGTGTCCACTACCAGTCTGTTTTGGTGTCTAACAAATCGGTTTTGTTTATCTTTGGCTCGCTTGAACAAACCTTCGTGTGTTCGTACAAATGTAGACACCACCTCATATATGTATTTACATACTAGGGAGAGACATAATTCCAAGTTTCCAAAACAATGGTCTACACGATTGGGGTGGTGGTGCCCCACACATTGCTCGCACACAACTTTTCTGTGCTATAAAAAAGCCCTGTCAGCATTAGTACTTTTTTCCCCACAAAAATAATCCGTATCTAAGAATAGACTCAACATGACCTTAGTAGGCTGTAAACAGGGTTTGACGCAGGGTTTGATGTTGTCCTAAGTTTTGCCATCATATAGGCATAGCTATTTATTTTGTTACGAATTTTGTTTACGTGACATTTCCAGTTGCAGTGATCATCTATTTGAAGACTAAAGAAATCTCGTTTCATTTAGTTCCTTTAATTTCTGTCCTTCGTGATGTATATGAAGTTTATATTTACATCCGCCGTGATTTATAAATTTTATGTAACAAGTTTTGTCAATATTAACATTCAAATTATTTAATTTTAACCATTTTGTTATTGAGTTAATTGTTATTTATAATTAATTTATTATTGTCAACGTCAAGCTTTTCGTCAAGTGTTACGATTATTGAAATGTCGTCGGCAAACAGAATGCAATCGTAATTCGTCACATTAGGAAGATCATTTATATGTAAATTAAATAATAGCGGTCCCAAAACACTACCCTGAGGTACGCCGTATTCATTCAGTCTGTATTTTGATCTGTATGTCTTAATAATTCTTGATTCTGCACCCATAGTAACAATCTCGACGCACTGCTTCCAAAATGTTTTAGGTACGGTCTCATCCATTCCAGCGATTTACCTCAATTCCATAATTTTCTAGTTCATTTAACAGTATGTTGTGATCTACAAAATCGAATGCTTTTGACATATCAAAGAATATACCTACCGTGCTCTTTCTGTCATTTAAGTTACTAACTATTTTACGCATTATCTGAAAGGTTCTAAAACCAAATTTGTTCTCGTTAATTATGTCCAATCTATTTGTGAATCTTATTATTCGTTTATGCATCAACTTTTCAAGAATCTTTGACATAATCGGTACTAGTGTAATCAGTTCATAATTTGCGACGTTTTTCGTATCACCCTTCTTGTGGATTGGTTTGATTATCGATATTTTGAGCACATCTGGAAAAGTACCTAACTCAAACGATAGATTTATTAAATAAACTAGAAATGGTACCAATTCGGTTTTACGTGCTTTTATCATGTTAGTGGTAATTTCATCATAACCCGTCGCATTACGTTTATGAAATAATTATTTTAGCACTTTAGGATTGGAAAAACGGCACTTGAAAAAAATTTTTTACTGCATAAATAATTGTGCTTGCAAAAGTTCAAAAATCACTTTTTGATATTCGAGAATCTAAAATTGAGTTATATGTTGAATTTCTAAAAGGCTTTTCAAAGGTTTCTGAGAATGGATACGTACACAATCCTTTTGATACGGGAAACGCAAAAATTACAAGATACTCCTTCCTTATCCATAACCAACGAAATTGGCATTTTTAGCATAATTGAGTTATGAACATATCTGGGATCGAAACAAGAACTACAGCCCTCTATTTTTTAATCTTATATAGTTTAAGTTTTATTTATAAGCAAAATCAGTGCAATTACGAGTAAAAAATGCTTACTCGTTTCATTAGCAAACCAAAAATTTTAGATGCCAATATCTCGAAAGTTACTAAGTGTTAGTTATGACAAGGAGAGCAGAAATTGTGTAGGCAGCTAAATTTACCTTGTTCAGAGCTTGGTCACTCTTCGACAATTCATCGAGTAATTTAGGGCTTATAGTGAGTAAGTCACACCCAGCCAGTTCGCGAATCTCGCCCGTGTTACGGAATGATGCGCCCATAACTTGCGTCTTGTATCCGAATTTCTTGTAGTAGTTGTACACTCGGGTTACTGACAGCACGCCCGGGTCGTCTTTGCCTTCGTAAGTTTTTTTGGTGTGTTCTACGTACCTGTAATAAGCCATTATAATATGTACCAACTTATCAAGTACTCTTCAATTGACCACAAAGAGTTTTTAACAGACAGAAATGAGCTTCGCTTAGTCGCACTCAGGAAGTGGATATTTTCAGTGAAATACGTATTTCGAAAATTACTGTTTAATCATGTTAAAGGTTTTTTTTAATTTGATTTATTTACCAGTCCAAAATTCTTCCCACAAACGGCGAAATGAGCGTTACGTTGGCTTCAGCGCACGCAATTGCTTGGTATAAGGAAAACAGTAGAGTCAAATTACAGTGGATACCATGTTTTTTTTCCAGTTCTCTGTAAAATAAGAGCGAGACAAATCGTCAAAAATTACATATACTTTGCGGAAATGATAACATTTGCTTAACTCCACAAATTTTATATGTATCCTTAAAATATACATATTAATGTATAAATGTATATGTGTCATACATAAATTATGTTAAACTAACTTTGCAGCCTGGATTCCCTCCCAAGTTGAAGCCAGTTTGATGAGAATTCTCTCTTTTTTTATTCCATGTTCCGCAAACAAGTTTATCAGTTTAGTAGCCTTAGCTATGCTTGCCTCCTTGTCGAAAGATAATCTGTAAATTTAAAAACAGACAGAATTTTAGAATTTTCCTATAGAATATTTCGCATCAATATTGAATACGAAACAATAATAATAAATAAAAACTTATATTTCATCTACCTTTTTTCCTGGTACATTGCAAACTGTTATTTACGTAATTGTGTTCAATTTTGCAAACGCTCAAGTGCCTCTAAGGTCGCAAATTCAAAACGGTGGTGGTACGCGCAAACCTTGAACGTCCCGCTAAACGCCTCGCAGACGCAGATGCGAATTTGCGGCCTAATAGTTACATTTTAGTACCTAAACAAAATACAATAATATACACACCTGGCATCAACTTCGCAAGAAACTCTTCCTGGGATAATTTTGAGAATTTCACAACCAAATAGAACACTCAGCATGTCCAATGTCTCTGCCATTTGCTCTTCCACTGTACTGCAAATTAAAATCAATTAATGCTTTAATTGAAACTGGAAAGTAAAACTTTTGAACTACCAATGTAGGTATATTTTGTATCATATTTGAATGCTCTACAATTATTTATATTACATTTTTCTGTACTACAATACTAACACTCAATTGCTTAAACATTCAGCTTAGTTGTAATTTTTTATGTAACATGCTGCCTCAAGGTTTGTTTGGATTGAATAAAAAAGTCAACAAAATGGCAGTATTATAGTTAGCGACCTTTTTTCCATCCTCTAAGTTAGCGACACATTAAAGACATTTATCTGCACTCATTTTAGACTAACTAAAAACAACACTTTACACATTCAATCTCTATTCTCTCTTACCATTGACTTACAATTATATGGACGTCGGGTCCGCGCTAAAAAGTGTCCGAACTTATAGGGCGTTAAAATCGTATACAGAGCGTCATTCACGCTTTAGTCGTCGTTTGTTTCTTCTGACAGCGAAGGAAGCAAAATTAGACAGTACTGGGATGACATTACAATTTAAATTCAACGTTTTAGCTTTTTCATATTCCTTTACATGTCACTATGTTTAAATAGGTTGACTTGGGACATTTTTTTCGTGGTTTTTGTATTAGACCCGTCGTCCATTTATTTATAAGTCAATGTCTCTTACAAATATCTCTTTCTGTTTTGTGTTCATTCTCGTGTCTTTGTTTGAAAATGTTACTATGAAAATCATTGCTTTGAAAACTTGTTGACTATTTTATAATCTGTCAGTCTCTAGAATATTCTTCTGCTTGCCAATTGCCAGTGCCTTTTTCAAGATTTCGCCAGCATTCAGTTTTTGTAAAAAAAAATACATTCTATTCTATTTTTAAATTTCTGGCTTCTCTTTCTGGTTACACTTTTACATTTTAACCGACTTAAAAAAAAGGAGGAGGTTCTCAATAATTCGACTGTATGCTTTTTCGTATGTATGTTATGCGATAACATACACACACATTTGTGAACTGATTTTGAGGGTTCTTTTTTTGTTGGAAAGAGTACTCAATAGCGGTCCGATTTAAGAAAATATTCCACCTCTAAGGGTGCCAAACTCGGGGATGAATGACTTTTGAGGTCGGATTTTTCATATAATAATTATGGTAACCATTGCCAATGTCACTTTTGAGAATCTCTTTAAAACTGACATTGGCAATTGTACACAATTTTACAGGGCACACTGTACATCTGTCACATACCTGCCATTATCTTTGCCATACTTGATGGCTTTGTCCAACAGATGTTGATACTGCTCCATGCCCGCCGCTGATAGAATAAGGCTGGGATTGGTGGTGGCATCAGTTGGCTTGTATGCTTTCATAGCTGTGGAAGAAGGTTCATTGCTTTTGTGTAATTTATTCAGGGTATCAGTTACATTTTGCCTTACCCTACAATGCACCAAAGAGTGAAATTACGTACAAGCTGCCTGTATGACCACTTGTGTAAGTTTCATCAATTGTACTTCTTACTATAGTCTACACATTAGACGCGCGTTGACAAGATTCAGTCGCACCCAGTAAACCTCCACGTGGTCACAAATTTAGTGACGCCATAAACTAATTTGAAGGCTCTTTTGGTGCTTTCAAATTATAAGCATAAAGAAACGCTGGAGTGGCGTCATTAATTTTCATAAAATATTTAGAAGCGCAGTTGCAGCGCCACTGTCGTGACACGCGCGCGCTGCTTTGCAATCATAATTAGTGAACTAAAAATTACTGAAGCGCTAAAGCGGGAATAGCATTTACGTTCACGTTTAAATACTTAGGTCTGCTTGTTGATAATAGATTTAACTGGAAAATACATGTCTGTGAGGAATGTTCAAAGCTTAGAAAACTGTTGAATATATCACTTAAAATTGCTGTTAGATAAACATAGTCTGCATATAGTGTATTACGCATTGGTTAATTCTTTGCCGAGTTATGAGCCGAGTTGTTATAGCCGAACTTTTCAAACATACCTCAATGATGAAAAAATCTTACAAATAAGATTTTTGAAATATTTAGTAAGTCGTAAAACTAAGTACCTACAATTGTAAGGAGACTATGATAAACTATTTACGTACTGTAAAATATTTCCTGTAAAAGCAAAAGCTCAATATTGAGCTGCTATTGAAAACTGAAATTAAATATGTATATCCAAAAGTAAAATACTATTATGGTAAAAGAACCAATAGAGATTTCTTACCAATTATATTTAATATTAGATTTTTTTCAGAGGCTGAAAATTGTTAAGTAAGTTCCCTTTAAAAAAAAATTTTAAATTAATAAAACAAACTAGTGGAATAATTTCACAAAAAATAATTGAATATCAATTCAATAAAAATTTAAAATTTATACTTCTTTTTATTTATATTTCTTTAACTGCCTTTGTGGCCAAACGGTTACCATGCCGGACTGCCACGCAGAGGCCCCAGGTTCGATTCCCGGGCCGGGAGAAATATTTGTATGACCTACATTTGTTTCTCTCGTGAGTTTGGGTGTAATTTGTGGTTGTCTATATGTGTGTCCATGGCACCCGCGACACAGGGTTTCCCTAGTGTGGGGCTATGTTGAGTGTGTGTTATAAAAAAATAAAAAAATAAAAATAAAACTTCTTGAAAGCAAGTAAATTTGGTTAAAGTCTACACTGGTTTTGATAAATGTTCTTGTACTAGGTATACTATATTGGTATTAAATTATTTTTTGTGAAATTACTCAACTTGTTATAATTAATAATACGAATAAAAGAGAAAGAAAGAGAAAGAAGAAAAAACATCAAACACTTCGAAAAAATTTTGATCCGGCCAGATTCAAACCGATGTATTCTAGCAGACTGTGCCAGATTAAATAGTTTCAAAAAAAAAAAATTTCAAATATAAAAAATAGTTTCATTTCCTATGGGTAACAATCTTGAAAACCTAAGAACTCGATATGTGCTTGTTGTCAGATCTTTTGTATTTGATTTTCAATGACTTTTTTGCCATAGTGCCATCTTTCTATCTCATCCATATCAATCTTTATATTAATAATTAAAAGAATTAAAAGAAAGCACTGCAACTGTTAGGGACGGGCGTGTCGTATAACACCAGGTGCACAACTTGTTTGTCCCATCACTTAGTGTCATAAAAAAAACATACACATATATTACATACACTATATTGAACATAAACAGGTAAATGTACTGGATTTATTAAACAGTAATATACATGTGTTATATATGTTGGACCCTAATCAAACATGGTTGCTTTCAAGCAGAGATCAAGGTTGTTGACCACTACACACAACTACACTACAAATAGTCACTTAAACACAGTAACTAAGTAACATGTGCACTATAAATTAACCATTAAGGATAACATTTGCACTTAATGAAAGGACAAGGACAATGTTCTGTTCTAATCTTTAATTGGATTCTGATTTCTAATAGAGTGGTTATTAATGATAATTGATAGTTGCAGTCTATGTAACAAAATTTACTTTTAATTTGGAATTTAATTTAAGATGCCAACTACTCTAATTAATCTAATTTTTTCAATAATTCAGAGCAGCTGGGAATCTTCAGAATGTGCACACAAAATAGGTCATAATTGAAGTAAAGCTGCTAACCTTCAAAATCGCCGGTGTCCGCCACCACCGTGGAATACTGTTTCAGCTGGTCCAGAGCACTCATTTTTGTTCGCTTTGCTTGAGGTTCACCGCTCATACTGAATGTCGTAAATTCAAACCTGCTCGTAATTAGACTCTAATGATAACAAGACAGTAGAGCGTGAGCGCGGTTCGAACTAAATCAGTTACGATTACAAAACTCGCCTGAAGGTGACCCCGCACACCGCCACAGAACACTATACCGCACGCAGACCGTACCTACTAAACCAACCAACACAGAGATAACCTCTTAGACAATTTAACCTCTTAACCATGTCATTACCTCCTTTACGATTTAACACTAATTTACAACATTAATATAATTAAATTACGAAACAGGCTGAACATTAATTTAATTAAATTACGAAACAGGCTGAATAAATTGCTAAAATTATAAAAAAATAGTATAAAAATAAAATCGCTTTGCATACGTTTAACGTTGCGTGCACAGGTTGCGTGTTTAGTAACGCAGAAAATGACAATGCAAATCGAATGCCAATGAAACGATAAGGTGGATTCACAATGAACAAATTCTGGCTACATCTACATCTTTCTAGACTACTTAATGCCGCAATTTATCGCGTTGCGCGAATTAGTAGATTGTGTTGCGCGATATGATCTTGAGTTGATCAATCGGGAGGTAAAGTCGCAGCTCTCAAATATAGTGTATGATCTATGCTCGCAGCTCTTGATTAATCAACATATTGCCAGTATTTGTGCATTGTGATACCACCTTTACTGTTGAATAATTTCAGAGAACAAATAAATAATTTTCCAAAAAATTTCAAATATTGGCCGCATTGACTTTATTCGTAAGTCAATGAGTGGCCGTAATAGTTTTTTTTCCATCCTCTAATGTAATAATGGACATTTTTCCGAAAATTTTCCCGAAAAATTGGAAAAATATAAATTTCGAAGGTCCATGTTATGTTGTACGTTTAGAAATATCTTTCGAAATTTTAACTAACGTGAATTAAAAAATAAACTTGTCTAACTAAAAGCCATGTAAAGAAAACGAGACAAAATTATTTCACAACAGCGAAAAAAACCTCTTTTATGGCTCCATCGTTTTGGTATTATAGCATGGAAAAAAATAAAGGATAAGAGCTCCATCGATATCATCAATGTTGGTTTGGTTCAGTAACTTCAACTATTGATAAGTGTCAACGTCAAATGTGGAAGAGTATAGGAAAAGTATGGGAAAAATATTTATTTTTCTGTACAATATGAAAAATCATAATTCAAAATGGAAATTTTTCCAAGACCCAACAACAATTTTAATGAAAACCGATCGTGCCACATTTTTTGTATCCACTATGACGTCAATAGTGATGGGAAACCTCCTTCCGGGCTAAATCGATTGATTGAACGGAATACACGTATTCCATTCAATTCCATTCACGGATATCTGACCATTTGTCACTTACGGCCGCTTTCCATATTTGATCCTGAATCTAAGATTGTTTTCTATCCAGATTTTATTCGATCCATCGATCACTGCCGAATCTGTATTTCAATTAGTCTATCTCGGCTCTAGCGCCCTTAAAAAAAAAGGATCGCTCGTAAATTTACTCCCTCTCTGACGTTTAGTTCCACTCAATCAGAGTAAAAGATCACTAAATGAATTAGTGAATAAAATGGTGGCTATGTTTCTAAGATTAATTTATTTATACATGTGATTTTGGCAAAAATATTAATTCATTGCAAACTTTCAAGTATAAAATATTTAAACCGTAAGTACGTCAAGAACAACGTGTTTCGAGCTTAGAGGATGGAAAAAAATAAACCATAGTCTAAGGTTTCGAGGAACAGAATGGAACGTCTATTTTCGAGAACGGAACGTTTATTGTCAAACGAGCGGGACGGCCACATAGGATTGAAAAAAATAAAGTTACGACGCGCGGCGGCGGCGGCGAAATGTTAGTGTCAATTTATGTTTTGTTGATGTTTGTTCGTATTCGTGACGTGATAAATAATCTAACTTATAAAAATACCGTTTTGATTTCACTTTGATATACGGCATTATTTCATTTAAAACAAATTCAACTGATGTTTTGTTCAGCCTAAATTTGGATGTAAAGTCAGCGTCAATTAAACTTACCATGAAGTTTATACGCCTAAACGTTCTTGAGGACACAAGCTGCTCTTGGTCGCTGTCGCTATTATCCCAGTCCGATAACTGAGCAAATGTTCAAGTTTACAGTCTCTATCACTTAAAAATAACTTCCATTTTTACACGATTACACAGTACAATCGGTCAAAATTGGAGGATCGCTACTATACATCGAACTCGTGCAAAATCCGATTTATCAAACCTATGGATTGGATATTGAAAGCGCACAACTGTCACTACCATACAAATGTCAATCTAAAAATGCCATCCCACAGATGGATTGAAACAAAAGATCGTAATAACGATTCATCGATCAATTATTGAAATAGTGAAAATAGGATTTGAACTGATTATTCAAGCTTAGATAGCAAATTATGGATGGCGATTGAATATAAAAAGCAACCGTTAGCCGCATTTTAGTTAGTGGACGGCAGTAAGCGCCTATTTTGTAACGGTTCGTTTTTGCCCAAATATACTATATAAAAGTTTCAGCATTTGTTTCAAAAATTGTCTGCACTATCTCAAAAATTAAAAAATAAGACTTTGAAATAAATATGCGGCTTGACTTTACAGTTTGTTTTATTAATTTATTATTCCAATTTTAACCCGCATTTACACTATCGTGCTCACTATTCGCGTCGCCACTCGTCGAAACAATCGACGAAACATTCGTGTCGAATTGCTGAGACGCATTCTCACATTCGGGCGAGTGGCGATGCGAACAGCGATAAGACGTGTGTCGATCGTGATCGATCGAATCAAAAGGATTCGAACAGCACCTGTGACCCGATAACCCGGTGTACTTGCTTCTAAATGACCCGATCATTTTAGAGTTCCGTGGGTCATGCGCGCAATATTCGACTTTATCGATATAACTTTAGAGATTATTCAACAATTCACAATATTACTTTTGTCTCGTTCACTCTCACGTGAAGTCCCCACTTACGATACGGTTAGCCGTCTCACTCTTCGTTTGGATTGAACATTGTGTATCAGTGCATTAGCTAATATAAAAATATTAATGAATAAGAAATTAGTAATTTTTAATGCTCATAGGTTTTTTTGTTATGTATTTTTGTTTTGTAAGTGTTACTTTTCCTAGAAAGAAATTTTAGTGTCCTAAGTGTGGTTTATCAATGATGCATTTAAACTTTATACGCATTACCCATCAGCAGAAAAGAATAAAAGCTAATTGTATAATTTGACACTTTTAAATGCCATGTGGAAGTATCGTGAGCAACGGGTGACCCGCTAAAAAATTGAACATATGATCGAATCATTTGACCCGATCACATTTGGACCCGGGTTGACTGCGAACGCACCGCACAATAGACACTGAAGATAATGTACTATTTTTATGCCATTGCTTAAAAATGCACGTAGGTGTCGCGTGCAATGAAATGTAAACGTTTGTTAATTTCCGAATATATGTAAATACTTAGAATAATAACGCATAGAAACCTAGCCCGCACACGCTAAGTGAGGCAACTGTAGGACGCCCTATGGGCTTACACGAGCGAGCGGGCTGTCAGTGCTCAAGGTCAAGTTGCACCGCGAGCAGCACAAACATTTTTGCTAAAAATGACGAAATATGCGGTAATTGGGCTTAAAAATAGATCAGACGAATATAAAATAGACTCTAACATCACATTCCACAAGGAAGTAACGCATTTCAACTTGTATTTTTATGTAAATATTCACTATAACAGAAAATTAATTTCGTTGCAACAAGATACGAAAATGTTGCAAAGTAACCGGTTTTTTCTCCCCATTTTGCTATTCTGTTTCAAAATAATTATATTACGTAATTTTTTGAGAATAGGCAATATCGCGACGGTTGCAAAATTTCTACAAATGTACACCGCCGCAACAACATTGCAGGGAATGTACGTTAGCTATTTTTAGGAAATATATTTAGTATTTGCCTTCATTAGTTTGTGAAAAATCATTATTCTTGTTCATCATACACTCATTTAAAAAAAATTGTCTTGCCCAGACTCAAAAGTTCTTAACTAAAATTATTTCAGGAAACTAACACTGACTAAAAAGTCATCGTCAGTTCTCCAAAATCGTGTATAAATAACTTTCAGGTTCAGGTTCTTAATTGTTATCGTGTACTTTTCATGTAAACATACCTACAGATAATATCAGGCTATTTATATATTCAAATTCGATAGTCGCACTTAAACTCGCTTTTTTTTTTTTTTTTTTTTTTTTTTTTTTT